ACTCCGCCTTCCCATACCTGCTGGTCCAGGGGGCAGAGTTTTTGGGGCGGCCCCTCCTCGAAGCCTTTGGCGAGGTCCTCGCTGGGGGGTGGCAGGTCCTGGCACAGCAGACACCTCCACTCGGGGCTGTGGGATCAGGCAAGGGGATCGGGTGAGGGGATCGGGTGGTCCCTCTCCTCTCCCAGCTTGTTCACCACAGCACAGGCAGAGTCCCTGGGATTTGGGGGCCCACAGCTTCCCTGGGTATCTGGGATTGAGGGGGTGGGGGCAGCCATGGGGATCAGGGGCAGTGGATCCCACAGGCATTTGGATCAACGGGGGCATTCCCATGCAGATTAGGGCCAGGCAGCAAAGGAGAGAGGATCCCAGTTCCCCTGGGATCAAAGAGGTCCCAAGTGATCCAGGATCAATGCACAACTCTTCCCCTGGATCATGGCAGTAGATCCCCAAGGGATCTGGGTTGCTGTGTAGGCCCCCAGGTGGACTTGAGGACCTACAAGGGATCCAAGAGGGTCTGGGATGGAGGAGTAGAGCACCACAGGGGCTCAGACACCACAGGTTGCCCCAGGATTTGGGATCAACAGGTAGATCCCAATGCAGATGAGGGCCAGGAGATCTAGGCTCAAGAGGTGGATCCCTCCACGGATGGCAAAAAGCAGACCCCCAGGGCTCTCGGTCAACAGCTAGACCTCCAATAAGGATCAAGACAGGATCTCCAGGGATCATGGGGCAGTTTCTGTGAGCTGGCCTAGTCCATGGGGTTGGAAGATCCCCCAAAAAAGGCCAACAGATCCCAAGGGAGAGACGTGACCTAGGGTCAAGCAGTTCCCAAAGCTCCAGCAGCAGCCAAGGACCTCGGGGCTGGGGCAGAACTGGATCGTGGGGGGGTTGATCCTGGATCACTTGGGACAACTCTTCCCCTGGATCATGGCAGTAGATCCCCAAGGGATCTGGGTTGCTGTGTAGGCCCCCAGGTGGACTTGAGGACCTACAAGGGATCCAAGAGGGTCTGGGATGGAGGAGTAGAGCACCACAGGGGCTCAGACACCACAGGTTGCCCCAGGATTTGGGATCAACAGGTAGATCCCAATGCAGATGAGGGCCAGGAGATCTAGGCTCAAGAGGTGGATCCCTCCACGGATGGCAAAAAGCAGACCCCCAGGGCTCTCGGTCAACAGCTAGACCTCCAATAAGGATCAAGACAGGATCTCCAGGGATCATGGGGCAGTTTCTGTGAGCTGGCCTGGTCCATGGGGTTGGAAGATCCCCCAAAAAAGGCCAACAGATCCCAAGGGAGAGACGTGACCTAGGGTCAAGCAGTTCCCAAAGCTCCAGCAGCAGCCAAGGACCTCGGGGCTGGGGCAGAACTGGATCGTGGCGGGGGGGGGAGGGCAGATCCCAGAGGCCAGCAATCACTCAAGGAATCTAGTGGCACCAAAGGATCCCCCCCTTAAAGAATCAGGAGGGATGGATTCCACCCCCATCCTGGGACAAGGAAGCCGTAGATCCTATGGGAGATAAGTAGATCCCGTGAGAGATCGGCAGACCCCAATGATGCGGTGGCTCGGGGGGATCCCCGAAGATCCGGGGAGCAGCAGATCCCCGAGATCCTCCACAACGCCATGGGGCAGGAACCCCAAGCAGTAGACCTTGAGGGATCTAGCGGTGCCAGGGGAACGGGAGATCAGTGGATCCCAGGGAGGTGACACGGGGCAGTGGATCCCAGTCTGCCCAGTGGATCCCCCCAGGCATACCTGGGGACCTCCTGGAGGGGAGGAAGGTGACAGTCGAGGTGGTAGCAGTGCTCACAACGGTCGCACATCACCACGGCACCGGCCTGGCAGCAGACGCGGCAACAGGAGACGCCGGGACCGGGTGGGGCTCCCTGGGGGGCAGATCCCAGCCCCAATGAGGATCCAGGGGGTCCCAGCACCCCAGGGTGCTCGGGAAGCAGCCCCACCGGCTTGGTGTCCTGGGTGTCCCCGATGGCCGCCTCCTGCTGCTCCTCCTGCG